ACACGTCACATATACAGCATGATACCATCCATGCATGTTGTTTTGGACCCTGTCTTAAAACAAACAAAAAAAGAATATCAAGGGAAAAAAAAACATTATGAAGAATCAAAAGAATAAAAGGTTGTCAGTGACAGCTCTATTGCTTCTCATGTTTCTTAGCAGAAGGTTTCTGTGTTACTTTTTTTACTGTGACAAAATACTGAGAAAAACAAAGGAGCAAGGATTAGTTGAGGCCCAGCTTCATTGGGGTTTCAGTCCTTGCTCACTCAGCTCTGCTGGTTCCAGGCCTTTGGGTGGTAAGAGGCGGTGAGAGGCTGAACAGCGTGAGGAAAAGATGTGGTAGAGTACTGTGGCTGTCATGGTGGACAGGTAGGAGAGAGAGAGAGAGACAGACAGAGAGAGAGAGAGACAGAGAATGAGAATGAGAATGAATCAGCAGGGGAGAATACCCTTCAAAAGCACCCACAAAGGCCTACATTCCTCCAACAAGGCCAATCCAACTATGATCTCATCAGAGGACGAAACCATTAATGAAGTCATCATAGCACCTTTAGGATTCAATCGCCTCTAAACAACACCCCAGATGGGGACCGGGCCTTTAACAAGAGCCTTTGTGTGGCTATGTCATATCCAAATTTAACAGTTCCCCACTCAAACTCAAAATTATTTCCTTACCATTTTTTTCTGGAGATGAGGAGCAAACTCAGCGCTCTCCTCCTGAACTAATCCCTAACCCTAGAATGTAGCTTGTAAGACATTAATTCAGTATCAAACTGCATAAGATGTTTATACAAGCAAACCAACAAAAACCACATTTATAAAGACTATTATAAACCTGGATCCTCTGGAAGATGAGCAAGCTTCTTAACTGCTCAGCCACCTCTCCAGCCTCTTTATTTAAGAGAACACATGTTTAAATTGGTGTGTACAATTTATGTGGCTCTAGAATCAGCAACAAAGAGCCCAGATTGAGTCAAAAATCTAACTACATGTGTATTTATACTTAACCTGTGTATAGTCTCTTTCTTTTCAGTATAGTCAAGAGGCATGAATAAAATATGAAGAGTTTGTATTCGTTACATTCAGAGATCTTTATCACTAAAATGAAAAACAAACTTACAAGATCCTAGAATCCCTATCAGTTGTATTATTGCAACTTAGTTTCATGTTTCTACATTTAACAATAGGAAAGCAATCATAGTTTGCTGAGATGGCTCAGCTGGTACAAGTGATCCTGGAACTCATGCAAAGGTGAAGAGAGATAATTAACTTTACGAAGCAGTCCTCTGACCATGTCATGCACACACGTACTTGTGCGCACGCGCGCACACACACACAAACCAATGTGCACTCATGCACTCACACACTAATAATTAAAAATGTTTTAAAAGAGAAAGAACAGTCATATTTCCTCAGTTAATTCTTTGTTTTCTCTTTCAACAAAGCCAAACAGTCATTGTTAACTGAATTAGTCACTACTAATCCCACTGAACCACAGACTCATGTCTGTCTCTATTGTCATAAACAATGGGTTTTATGATATTTCTGTTTCAAATTTTCAAAACTTGTTAAACATCTTAGTAATTTCCCCCCTGTCATTCAGTTGAAAAGAACAGTCACAATATTTACAAAAAATGAGAAATGTATAGGCAAGGTTGATTAACACTGGAAACTAAAAGCAGATAGAGAGGTTATGATAATTCTCAAACAAAAGTGCTAAGACTAGAACTGGTAAAAGTATGGTTTCCTCCAGTCTGTAAAATATGTCTTAAGTATACTTTTACTAATATATTTTTTCATAGGCATAGTGGCTCAAATCTAAAAAATAGGCAAAATGAATTAATTCTGTTTTTTTGTTTTGTTTTTTTGTTTTGTTTTGTTTCTTCGAGACAGGGTTTCTCTGTGTAGCCCTGGCTGTCCTGGAACTCACTCTGTAGACCAGGCTAGCCTCGAACTCTTGAACTCAGAAATCCGCCTGCCTCTGCCTCCCAAGTGCTGGGATTAAAGGCGTGTGCCACCACCGCCCGGCTAATTCTAACTGTTAAGTGCATAAGAACCTTTTATAAAAAGTAAGTCATTATAATGCTGCTGAGTAAGAATTCTGAGATTCCCATTTCTCTTCTAAACCTGTACTGTGAGAGCTGTCTGATAATCACTGTGAGTCCTGGTGCTAGGCTGACTGTACAGACCACGGTCCATGTGTTCTTTCCTCCTCTTCTTCTTCCTCCTCTTCCTCTTCCTCTTCCTCCTTCTCCTCCTCCTCCTCCTCCTCCTCCTCCTCCTCCTTCTCCTCCTCCTCCTCTTCCTCCTCCTCCTCTATTCTTTGGGCAGCCCCTCCCCAAGCCTGGAGCCATTGTCAGAATTTCAATTTTGCTTCTTAGGTAATACCTTCTATTCTTCACATTTTACATCACTGTTCATTTTTACAGAATTAGGTCAGTTTTGGTCTGCCAGCCTCCAAATATGTTTACATCTTTCTTTACTTTATTTTATGTTGACTCCCCTGTAGTAATTGTATGCATTAATGGGGTTTGGTATGATAACTTTCACAAGGCACATGACCACAGTGACCAAGTCCAATGTCCCTAATCCTACTAACCTCCAGTTTATGTTCAGATCAGTTTTGGTTTTCTTCAACATGAGGGAAAACATGGTATTTCTTTTAATATCCAGCTATTTCACTTAGGACACTAGCCTTTCATGTCTATTTTAAAAATAGTCTTTAACATCTAGAATATCTAAAATGAATAAGACTTGTGAAAAGTTAATGTAGGTGGCTCACAACAGCTTGTAATTCCAGTTTCAAGACATTTGTCACCTTCTGTTGGCCCCTCTCTCTCTCTCTCTCTCTCTCTCTCTCTCTCTCTCTC